GTTTTTAGGAATATATATTGATGAAAATCTTACATGGAGACAACACATCAAAAATTTAAGCAACAAAATTTCAAAAAGTATTGGAATATTATACAAAATCAAAAAGCTATTTAAACATGCGCACTTTAATGCAACTATATTATTCACTTATTCACTGCCATGTTAACTATGCAAATATTGCGTAGGGCAGTACTAACAAAAGTAAACTAGAGCCTCTTTATCGTCATCAGAAACATATAGCATGTTTAGTTCATTCTTGTGATAGACGAACTCATTCAAAGCCTCACTTAAGAAAAATGAATGTTTTAAACATATATCAACTTAACGTATATAATATTCTTTGTTTTATGTTCAAATGTAAAACGAAATTATCCCCGTCTCCTTTTCATAATTTATTTATAACAAAACAAAAAAATAAATATAATCTACGAAATGATGATTTTTTGATGCAACCATTTTCGAAAACTAATCATTGTAAATTTTGTGTATCATCTCGGGGACCGTATCTTTGGAACAAAATTGTCTTAAATAACTTTGATTTTTCTTTTAAATGGAATTACATATCTTTAAAAAAAAAGTTGAAAGAAGTAGTTTTTGAAATTGACAATATACAAATGTACTTCTAAACCTTTTGAAATTCTTTTTATCTATTATTTATATGATTTATAATGTATGATTTTTCTAGATATGATTTGTAACTCAATTATTTACGATCTTCAAGCCTATATTGCTATTATACTATCTGACCAATTATCTTTAAGAAATTTTTTGTGAACTTTTTATTTTTTTGTAGTTTTTTTAATTTAAATCTTGTTATTCTTTTATTATTGCATAACACTTTTTTATTTACTACGTAAAATATTTAACTTGTAAAAATGTAACAATGTCTTTTTATCGCGGTACTCATCGACAAGACCTTATGGTCTTCTACGAGTTTCCGCGTTTTTTTTAAATATATATTAAATATCTTCACTTGTAATTGTTTATATTTTTTTATTTTAGCTTGTAAATTTTATAAAATATTAACGTCATGTTTTAAAATGTAATAAAGAAAAAAAAAAAAAAAAAAAAATCTCAAAGAAGTAAACTACTATTAAACAAAAACATTACTCAGGTAATGATATTTTTAGAAGAAAACTACTCTTAAACAAAAAAAAAACATTACTAAGGTAATGCCAGTTTTAGAAGAAAACTACTATTAAACAAAAAAAAGATATCACTCAGGTAATGCCAGTTTTAGAAGAAAAAATCACTAAAATTCTAACAGAAGTAATAAAGGAATTACAGTACTTTTGACAAGAAAGTATATGAGGAAAGTACATTTAAATAATTTTTGATTATTTGATGACCATTTATCCATTTAGTACAACCTTATATAATTATATAAATATGTTTATTCATTCATTAAGTATAACATATAAGATAACCTAAAAATTTTCAGAAGCTTGGCTATGATTTTGATTAGGAGATTGGATATTGCATAAATATATATAGTTTAAATGTTTATTTATACATTAAGTATAACATATATCTTGTATTTTTGTTAGAATATTTTGTTAACATAATATCTTATCGTTTATACCTTTATTTATACATTAAGTATAACATAAAACATTTTATAATGTAAAATTTTTAAAAAGTTAGTTTTAAAAGAAATAGTATTTAACAAAAATGCTACTATGCTGCTATAAATGTACAATTTTATCTATATTCAAAAACTTATCTATAACTTACTGGTATACCCGTATTTCAATTTTCATTTACAAGTGATAAATTTGCAAACACTAAAAGATAGACTTAATGGCTCAAGTGGAAGTACAAAATCTTTACTTTAAAAACATTCAAAAATTAGGTCAACTATTTCTAAAAACTTTTGATATTTATTTTTTCCTAGTTCAGAAGGCTTTGGTGACAAACAATCACATTTAATTTATTTTTGTATTAGAAAAATTATTAATGCAAGTTTTTTTTCTAATTGGATTTGAAAAAAATATTGGATTGATGGATACAACAGTAAGTATTATCAAACACTTCAAGGAGACTTAAAGAGGACTCTCAACTAGGTGAGATATATATATATATATATATATATATATATATATATATGTGTGTGTATGTGTGTATATATATATATGTATGTGTATATATATATGTGTGTATATATATGTGTGTGTGTGTAAATTCAAACTAGCAAACCAGCAAAAAACTCTCTTGATTCTTTTTTGAATACGTTTACTTTTTAAATAGTGTAACTTGAACTTACTTCATCAACTTTGAACCAAGTAGCAAAACCAATATTATTTTCACTTGTAGGTTTTCTTGTATTTTCATCACTTATTTGAAGCTGCTATTAACTGCTGAATGGTTTCTTTTAAAGTAATTACAAATGCATTCACTTTAGCTAAAAGTTGTTAATTATCAAAGTGCTTTAATTTAGTTTAGGAACTGCTACTTCCTCTAAAATGTAGTCATTTTTGTCGTTTGTATCCATCAAAACACT